CCCCCCCCCAAGAAAAACCCTGAAAAGGATTAACAAAGTAGAAGGACTTCTATTTGTCATTTAATGCCTTACTATAAAAATGACAGTAATCAAGACAGTGTGGTAGTGACCAAAGGACAGATATATAGACCAAAGGGACAGAACTGAAAATCCAGAAATAAACCCACATGTCTATGGGTGGCTGGTCCTCCACAAGAGCGCCAAGATCACTCAATGGGCAAAGAAGTCTTTTTGATAGTATTGTTGAGACACCTGGATATCCACAAGTATAAAAATGAGGGTGGGCCCTGATCTCATCCATTACAAAAATTAACTCAACATTGATCAAAAACTCTGTAAGAGCTAAAACTACAAAACTCTTACATGAAACATAGTTATAAATCTTAACGGTATTGGATTAGGCAATGGCTTATTTAAATATGACATCAGAAGTACAAGAAAATCAGCAAATTGCAAAGAGATAAATGGACTCTATCAAAATTAGAAACTTGTGTGTGTCAAAGGACACAATCAAAAAAATAAAATGAAAACCTAGAATGGGAGCAAGAATTCCCATGACTCAGTATGAAAAACACAACCCCATCTAAAATGGGTAAATGCCTAGATAGTTCTCCAAAGCAGTTATGTAAATGGCCAAAAAGCACATGATAAGATATCTGACGTTATTATTCACAAAGGAAATGCAAATCAAAAACAGAATGAGATACTACTTCCCACCAAATAAATAACTAGAATGAAAAAAGATAACAGCAAGTGCTGAAAAGGATATAGAGAAACCGGAATGCTGGCACACTGCATGAGGATGCAAACAGGTGCAGCTGCTCTGGGAAATACTCTGGCAGTGCTTCAAAGCCAAGCACACTGTGACCACCTGACACAGCAATTCCGTTCCTCATCACTATTCAAGATGTTGAAAACATGTTTCATGTTTACATCACTGTTCATAGCAGCATTACTGTTCATAGTAAGTTAAAAGCAAAAACAACCCAAGTGTCCATTAAACTGATGGATGGATAAATAAAACATGATGTGATAAGTTATTATTCAGCTGAAAAAGGAATGAAGTACGGGTTCTACGTTACAAAATGCATAAACCATGAAAAAACTGAGCTCAGTGAAAGCATGCAGACACAAAAGTCCGCCGAGTGTATAAATAACTATATTTATATGAAATGTCCAGAATGGCAAATCCACAGAAACAAAAATTACATCCACAGTTACTGATGAGGGCAGCTGATTGCTACTGGATTTATTTGGGCGGGGGGTAGGGTGATGAAACGTTCTGAAATTAAGAAAGTACTGATGACAGTTGAACAAGGTTGTGAAATATACTTTTAAAAGAGTCAAGTTTGCGGTATATGAGTTGTACCTCAATTTATAAAATAAACTAATTCTACTCTAAGTGTCCACTGGCAGAGAAAAATCTAGAAAACTAATCTAAACAAGTTCCTGAACCATTCAGACTTTATTTCGCACTTGCCTAAGGGTAATGGAATGAATATTTAATAAAATGTCATAAAAATGTTTAATGGACTTTATAATCATCTACATGATCAAATTTGCTATGCCTAAAGTAAGTCTCAGAACTGAGTCCTTGACCACTAGACAAGACACACACCAGCGAGAAGTGTCTTTCTCTTGGAAAAGTCCTTTTACTTCGCAAAGTATTCATAAAGGCTTCCAGGGAAAGTCTGGTGTTAATGTCTGCAAGCAAACTATTTCCTGAAGACGGATCTGAGAGGAAATGCTATGTGTGGGTGTTTAAAATTTCACCCACTACAATGTTTCTTATATGGCAATATACAAATCAGTCACCTTAATACAGGGACATTTGTTCTCATGTGTTTCATTGTAATAAAGAATGTTATTCTAGTATATGCTTACAGCTCACTGAAACTTGTCACTATAGATTAGCTTGATTTTCCAACAGACCACAGCAAGCAAGGTCAAACAAAATGCCCTGCACAGTCACGCTATCGGCGTTTTTCACCTACTCATGTATCTCAAAACTACGAGTAAAGCAGGTGCCAGGCACAGAGAGCAGGGCAGGGAACACGGCGCAGGCCAGTAACGCCCAAACTCAAGGCACCGTAGCGCTGAGCACCTCACTAGGACAGGCGTGCAGGCCGCGGTGGGGCAGGAAGCAGGGCCACTCCCGGGGAGTGCGCTCCCTGCAAGTGCTATTCAAGTTGAAACCCAAAGCTTAAGCAGGCTAATAGTCTGATGAAAATGAGGATGAAGAGTAGATGCAGCCCAGAAAAGCTCACAAAGTTTGTTCTAGGAACTAAAAAAATAAATAAATAAAGCTAGACATGGAGACGGCAGTCATGTGAAAGAGGATCTTGGAGACATTTCAGGAGGCTGGAGCTTATCTGAAGGGCAGTGAGAAGTCAACAGTACGGCAGGGGTCAGGAGGGAGGACCAGGCTGGAGAAACAAACAGGGAGCCATTCAGTGGTGAAGAGAGAGACAGTGGTGATCTGGTGTGGGCTGGGAACAGAAGAGGACAGGCAGTCAGAACTGAGGCATGTTCACCATGCCAGTCAACAGGGCTTCTTCTGATACAGGAGTAAGGGCATCACATAGATTTCTGACTTGAAAAACATGGTGGAAGCATTGTAAATTCACCAAGACAGAACCGGTGGAAGGAGGAACAGGCCTGGGGAGGGCGGGGAAGCTGGCACTCAGGGCCGCCAGCCTGTAGTGGGTGCTCTGGCTGCTGAGACACCTGCACGCTGCACCCCGCCGGCATCGCACAGCACACATGCACAAGGTGCCTTACCCGGGTCCTTTTTCTGGAAGGTCCACCTCGGCTGACAGTGGACTATAGACAGGAATGCTGACATCATAGCCTTGCCGGTAGGTCCATGTAGAGAAGCCGCCACCAGCCAGCAGAGCCCTGAAAACAAAGGACGGTGCCAAACAATGAGAAAGAAAGATCTTCATTCTGAAAGCTCTGAGGAAAATTATCTGAGTAACTGAGTATTTTTTTTTAAATTTATTTATGCATACAAGAACTGGGGTATAGACCAGCGATGTGGTGGGAGTGAATGGGGATGAGAAAGGATTTACCAGAGACAGAGTGGGAAGCAGAACAGGCAGACTGGCTTCTGAAATACACTGCTGAGGGGAGCAGCAGGCAAGACAGGAGAGGTCTGCTACGCCACGTGGGTCAGCTCCCTGCCGGGGGATCGAACTCATACTGCAGTGGCTGGTGATAGCTTGATTGCGCTGAGACATCAACCCCCCGAGGAACTGAGTCTTATTAATAAAATCAGTAACAGTTGATCTGCCTCGGGCTTTCTAGTACCTTGGAGCTACACAACAATCAAGTGCGTCCACCAGCTCCCTCATCCACCCCCGTACTCCATCTTAGTAACCCGATTCCCTACACAGGAAGCAGAAGCCAGCACTGGACCGCAACGCTTCTCTGGCAGGGTGCATGCACTAGCTTTTACTTCACTCGAAAGCCATGTACATACTGTTTTGATTGGATCCAGCAAGTAGTGCCATGACACTTCATCAGAGAAAGGAAGCAGGTGTCTCTCCACCAACTTTTACTGTTTTCTGTCCCCAGGGCCCAAACCCATCGGCATCACTTACTGGGCAGAATTTTGCAGTTCCACACACTGCACATTGTGAGCCAAAATGTCTGAACTGAGAAACCACATTTTTTGCGATATTGATTGCTACCAATCCCCTCCCTGCCCTGATGACAGCCTGCACTCCCTTCTAACATGACCGGTTGAAGTTCAAAGATTTTCAAACCACTCCTAGAAATCCCAATCTGTTTGTTTAAGCTTTATGAAACCAAGAACTGGTGAGTGAGGCAATGTGCAGGCTAAAAATCTCTCCAGCTGCCAGTCTACTCTGTAAAACTTAATGACCATCCTTAGTACCAACATACGGTCTTATTTTTCCTGATTAGCATTCAGCAATGAATCCATCCAACGTGCATTTGGGTGGGTTCTACGACCGTGATGGCAAGCAGACTCCCGGGGCCCCAGAGCAGCAAGCACAGATGTCATCTACAGGCACCAGGCCGTCCAGGTAAGCCAGGCGGTGAGTGAGCACGTGATCTCCCCACCGCCCGGAGGAGAGGGGCAGAGACAGTGTTAAAGATGGAGTGAGTGTGCATAACATAGACCTTCATTTTTATTCTGTCCCTGGGGCCCCGAGTGGTCGTCCTGGCCCCTGCAGGCAGGGCATGTGCCCTGGAGGAGGAAAGCGAAGCATGCCTGTGTCATAACAGATGTCACGGAGCACACACGTGCACGCTCCACTGTGAGCCTGGAAAGAGTCGAGGCTTGGAAACAGGCCCCGCAGCGGCCCTGCTACCAGCAAGACAAACTTGGAGTCAGGGTGTCTTCCTATGCCAAGGTTTCCATGACATTATAATAGAGAAAATCTTGTAAGTGCCCTCTGCTTTACAGAACACATGTTTCACATTGCCTGAAAAGTGAATTTCTGAGAAGCACATTCTGTTTTCCAATTCTGAATCCCAAAAGCAGAGATCAGTTCCAAAGTCGCAAGAGAATAATAGAAAACGTGAAGCGGAAAGACTCAGGTCAGTGAGCAGACTCTGGCCGCAAGTGGCACGCTGCCCAGTGTCCCGAGCACTCCAGCAGCGCCCAGGACCCCCTGACGCCAGAGCTGCATTGCCCCCACCCAGCCCCAGCAACCCCATCTCCACCGCCCTACTCCGGCTCTCTCCTCAGATCTCCTCACACTTCTCCCCCTCTGAGTATTCACAGCGCAGGAACAGAGTTCACAGGCAAGTTCAACCTTCGCTTGCCTTAAAACCATGCAAGTGACCCGGGCTGCAAACCCCTCAAACATAAAGCTTCGGGTTTGGGGAGGGGCGGGGAGGGAAGAAAAACCAACAGACCGATTCTATTACATTGCTCAGTGAGTCAATTACTCTATTACTTGCTCAGTGAGTCAAACAAGCTGTAAAAAAACCATTTATGGGACAGGTAGATGTGAACAATAGCTAGATACCTGGTGACATTTAAACACTACTGGTAACTACTTTGGCACATTAATATTTACGTTCCTTTGAAAAGCCTTCATTCCAAGTGGAAATGTCTGTGGACACAACACTCGCACGTCTGGGTCCATCTCCAGTGCCTGCTGGGCAGAGTGGACAGAGGGTGCAGACTGCCCTCGAGCCGAGGAATTCTGACCCGGACAGGGCACGGCAGGCTCTCTTCTTCGTTGTCGGCTGAATTATCCCCTAACAAATCTGAAGTAAATAAACACACACCCACACCCAGGAGGGACCTGTGAAAAATGGGTGCAAAGAAAAGGACAATAAAAGTCTCAGGTGGTGAAAATATGAGGGGACACAGCTGAGAAAACAAACACCAGAAAAACAGGGCACGGAGGAGGCCAGATGTGCACCCGGCACGTCAAAGCGTCACGGGACAGCGGGGCTGTGTCCGCCAAGTCCAGAGGGAGGTGCGCAGCGTTTTACAGAGGCGGCCGCTCAGTGAGAAGCGGGCGGGGCACATGTGACGGGCGCTCTTCCCGTTCACCCTCGTACACCGGCACCCCACTCTGATCCTGTGCAAAGAAGCTGTGTGTGCGTCAAGTGTACGGCCGTTCCTAGCGAGAGAAACAGATTTCAGAGGCATCAAAGATGGAGCAGCCAGGGAGACATTTCCTTGAGCCTGCCCCTGCATTTGCAACAGTGGAGTGACTCATAAGTAAGCCCACCTACGACCTTGGACTTCAGGAGATCCTAGCAGCAGTTTAATCTGGCCCATCTGTCTTCTAATTTGCAAATAATATGATATGAGCTCCTGTTAAAACCATTCTGCGCTCCTGGTTTTTACATCCCCCTGAATCCAGGAGCAAGGACAAAGGATAAGAAAACCTAACAAACAAATCTGCTATTCCTAACCCCAACCAGCAGACCACCTAGGCTTCAAAATGAAATTTCCTACTAGGCTTCAAAATGAAATTTCCTACATGCAAAGAGATAGAGAAGGGCTCTACGGTGATTCATTACTTGCTACAGGATTGCCAATAATCACTTACAGAAGCGCATGAGAAGGGAAAACGATTCAACCTTCCTGATCCTTAACACCTAAGCGCCAGCACAACTTCAGCTTTCTCCTGATTACACTTTCCTGCAGCGAAGTGAAACCCTATTTAAACATGTGCAGTTGATAAAAATAAAATCCTTCTTCCATGTAGATACATATACTAAGATGTCAGCAAACAGTGGAATGACCCAGGCAGAAATCAGCCCTCTCACAATAAACCCAGAACAGCAGGTGAAGACACTGCATTCCAACAGCCTCGGCCCTCCCCTCCTCTGTCCTCTCAAGTACTTCACTTCCCCAGAACAACCAAGTCACAGAAGACCCACGTGGGAACAGAGGCGGCTGGGGTTTCCGCAGGCTCCGTGCAGCCTGACTGCCCTCTGTCGTCAGCAGCGGTGTCTACATCAAAGCTGCGCGGCCCTGGGGTGCGTGCCTCCTCCAGGGCCAACTCAACACTGACTCAGCAGCCACCTACGCTCAGTAACTCTTGTGGGAACAGCAGAGCTAAGTGCCTAACAATGACAGCCCCTGACAGGCCGAGAACCAGCTGGCCTCCGGCTGCTCTCACCTACAGTGACAAAGATTTCAAGTTAAATATCACTGTAATAAAATTGGCTACAAATGAGTTTATACATAAACTCCGAAAAACCCATTATCTTGAGTACAGGTCCTTTAACTTGAACCCAAACTTTCTGCTTTCCTCCAATCCTTGAACCAAGCAGGAGAGGACCCCGAAGCTGCACATTCCTCGTTCTCACGCTTTCCAAGAAGCCTGCAGTCCAGCCAAGGCACAAAAGGGCCGGGAAATAGAGTTGGCGAACTCAGAATCACGGCTGGGCAGTCACAGCCACACAGAGCACACTGTCTGTGAGGAAGGTTTTGTAGGAAGGAAGGAAATTAGTGGGCAGGGGTGGGGTGGGCAAAGAAAAGACGGAAGGAAGAACCTACTGACTAAGGAGAAGAGGGTGAAACCAGCGTCCTCAGGCTCACTTCACACCACACCATCAGCGTCCTCAGGCTCACTTCTTCCCCCAGGAAGCGGTGGCTCTACTTTTGGCAAAGGCTCTCAGACTCAGAGAGAGATGACGCCAGCCCACCATACACCAGGTCTCGGGGCGGATGCCGGACTGCAGACTGAGGGAAAGGCGGCCTTCTGGATGCCACGCCAGAAGGGCAGCGCTGGCTGGCCCTCCCCAACACACAGAGGCGGGTCTCACATCTCTACACTCTATGTCTTGAAGAAGGACATGCTGAGGACGATTTTCTTATTTTAATGAATGACTCCGAAGTGTGTCCCAATAAGTGTGGGAATAGGATTTCATGTGAACCAAAACTTGCATTTACTTAACCCTCGGAAGCCCATCAGTCAGACAACCCCAGAACACCTACCTGTCTCTGGGGACATCCAGGGCTGTGTTGTAATCTGGGGGGCTCCCAGGCAACATGTTGAACAGCAGGTGATTTGTACCTCGGTCCCACCTATTATGAAATCAAACATGCAGGAGAATTCCTGTGTCAACTCGGGAAACAAAGCAGGTATCCCCAGCCCAGAAGAGGACGCTGCTCGGGTGTGCGAGTGGACCCCTAGAGATCCCAGACCGCCTCGGTACTCGCCTGGCTCTGCAAGAGGCAAATGGAGGCTGTGTGTTTCAAGCTTGTCCACTTTAGAACTGCTTTAACAATGCACATTACCTAAATGGTCACCCTTTGGTTAAAAGAAACACAAATGAAATACAGAAAGCTAGTTAAGCACCGTTGGGAACATCTGCAGAATGGAATATGACACAATCCTTAAAATTATATGGTAAAAGAATATGAAGTTATCTGGAAGTATATTCATGATAAATTAAAAGGAAAGGGCAAAAGGCTATGAGATCTAATTCTTGACAAAAATGTGTATTTACACACACACAGCGTGTAGCTTTAGATAAAATGCAACATATACTCATGTGCACAGGATATGTTTATACAAAACTGACTGGAATGTAACATCAAAGTCAGCAATGATCATCTTTCAGAGGCAGGATTATGGGACGAAGCTTACCTGTTTCTGGCCCTGGCTTGCCTGCAGGTGCGGCAAACTACATTAACTAAGCAATACTGGGGGAAAGGTTAAGCTGCAGGACAGGTGTGGGGAGAACCTAGCTGTGAGCCTCTGGGAACCCGGAGCAGCCGCGCGGGGCAGACTGCTCCCACCGGCCGACGCGAGGCTCCCGCTGAGGCCCACGCTCCCGGTGACCCGCAGCCGCCCCTCGGCCATCGCCCTCCTGAGCGGGGGGGGGGGGGAGCAGGCCGGCGGCCCGAAGGCCCGGCACCCCCGCTCTGGAGGCCCCGCCCCGGGCCAGGTACCTGGAGAGCTGCGCCAGCGCCTGCGCGGTCTCCTTGATGCGCAGCGTGTTCTGGTTCAGCACGTCGATGGACGGGACAAACAGGCAGGCCCGGGTGATGTCATCCGTGTAGTAGTCGCTGTCCGCGATGGCCGCCAGCAAGTCGTTGTACTCCCGGGAGATGGTGTTGCTGACCGGGACGCCGAAGTCATCCACGTACTTCTTGAGAGAGTAGATGTACACCTTGATTTTGTTCTTTGGGTTGAAGCCGCAGCGGTAGACGTCAAAACACGTGTGCATCCTGCAACTGAGGTCGCCGCGCTCGGGGACGGGGCTGTCGGCCGGCAGCCGGACCACCGGCACGTCCCGGATGCTGCGCTTCTCCACGTTCCAGTCGCTGGAGGACTCGATGGAGTGAGGCCAGAACTGGAACATGCCGGTGGCGATGAGGCCCAGGAGGACGACAGAGAAGAGGGTGATGTAGTAGATTCGGTGCTTCGTCTTCATCCTCGGGATGAGGGCAGGACCCCGGATGTTGTACTTGACAGACGCACACATAATGGCACAGGCAGCCCCTCCCTCACACTCCTGGTTACCAGAGGGAGAAAGGAGACTCGTTAGCGTACAGGTGACACTTGAAAAGGCTGAGTTTTAATATACCTGGTTTCTTCCCTGAAGCAATGTCATGAAATAGCTAAAAGGAAAGTTTTGACACCTGTTATATACAAATAGACGTTTGCATATGTGAATATACAGCATATACAATGATATGTTTAATATCTAATTCCACCTATATTATAGCATAAAATTAATGCATTTAAAAAGTTTAACTGCAAATATATGCTCATTGTAAACATAAGGTGGCAAATGTGGGGGGCACTGAAAGAAAGAAAAATCAGAAGTGAGTAGCCAGAGATAGTTGCTGTTTTATTTTTTAACACCTGCTGAAGATAAACTGATGCTTTACCTGGACAAACTGATCTTTGGCTATTCGAAAACCTGTTTTCATTCGATTCATCCAGCCACTCATTCCAGCTTCTACTGCGCACCTTTTTGCTTCGCGGGGAAAGCACCAAGGGACGCAGGGGAGGTAACAGCGAGAAAGGTGCTAAGAACCACAAAACTAGCAAAATGCAGAGTGCAGAATACCTCTAGGAAGTGTCTACACAGTGCCCCTGAGAGAAGAGGTAGCTGTGTAGTAACACACACACTGCTTTACAATGACGTATTTCATTGACACGTTTAGAAGAACGGACGGAGGAGGGGGAGAACAAGGGAACAGAGAGGGAGGGCGGTCCAGTGTGAGGAAGTCCCTTTCCAAAGATCAATACCAACGAGTCCTCCCCTAGGTGAAAGTGCATGTGGCTTTTCCACTCAAAAGGAGGGTCTAGTCCCCTCCCCCCAATCTGGGCTAATCTTGCGACTTATTTTGACCAAGAGAATGTGGCAGAGGTGACGTTCCAGGATGCTGCACCTAGGCCTTAGGAGACCCTGGAGCTTGCTGCTTTTGTCATAGCGGAAGGTAGCTGCTCAAGTAGTTATATGGAACGGGCAGAACTGTAAAAGAAAGACACACTGTCTTCCAGGCAGCGGGGGACTTCTAAAGCAAAATGCTAGAAGTGCAATTAAGAACTTCTGTTCATCAAAAGACACCACAAGGAAGTAAAAGGACAAGTTATAGCCTATATCCAAACCATATAATGTTGTATATGATTATACAACTGGGGCTTGCTGTAGCCTCTGAGGAAGCATATAATGTTACCTCAATAAAAAGACAATTTTTTTTAAAGATTTATTTACTTATGCATACAGAACTGGGGTACAAGCCAGAGGTGCAGGGGCAGTGAGAGGATTCACCAGAGACAGAGTGGGGAGCAGGACAGGCAGATCGACGAAGTACACTGCTGAGGGGAGCAGCGGGCGGGTCAGGGGAGGTCTGCCTGGCCATGTCGGTCACCTCCAGGGCGGAGATGGAACTCTCGCTGAAGTGGCTTTAGCTTCTTAGTGTCGCGCGTTAACCTGCTGTGCCATCAGGAGGGACCCAAGACAATTAAATTTTTGAAAGCAAGCTGCAAAGCAGAATATATTTGCAGTACATATAACCAATAAGGATTAGCAACCAGAAAAGGTTTCATCTCATCAACCGTCAGGAAAAGTAAGTTACTCCACCCAGCACAGCGAAATGCAAGCATCAACCACCACCAAGTGCTGCCAAACATGGGCGCTCCCCTGGAAGGGGTATCACTTGGCTGCAGTCCCAAGTGGTCAGCAGAAGGGCTGGAAAAAAGAGGGGGCAAGTGTTAAGAGGCCTAGGCTCCACATCTTGTTACCTCCTCCCCTAAAACCACTTCTTAGGAGGTAGTCCCAGAAAGCAGATTGACAGGCCAAGCAGACAGACAGGAACCCGGGAAGCAAGGAGTGTGCGCTACTAAGCAGCTACTGCCTTGACACCAGGAGCTTGTGAAGCCTCTGAGGAAGAACCAGGATTACCCCTCATCCCTGAGGGGGTGAGCAGCCACAGCATTTATCTGCCAACTCTGACCCACTGCTGCTGGAAGGGTGTCCGGCACTGATACCAGCTCCGACCCTGTGTGCAAAGGTCCAGGTATCACCCCTCCCTCGCCGTACAGTTAGTCTGGCAGAGAGCTGCTAGCAAAGACTGCGGGACATCTATCGATCCGTGCAGGGGTGTCGCAAAGTCTTTCAAACAGACCCAGCCTCCCCCTCACTCCATGGACGAGTCTGGGGGCTCATGCCTGAAGCTAGTTGAGGGAGGCTGACTTTCCAGTGCAGCTGCGGACATCAGCCGTCCACTGGCCAGCTCTTAACTGCTTTCTGCTTACACAAGTCCAGCACTCCCTAGGTGA